AAGACGTGCCGGACAATCCATCCCGTACACATTTATCTCATTTAATTTCTATAAATTTTGTGTATTTTTTTGGTACATACATCTGTTGAATATGCATTTGATTTTGTTTATAAACCAAGAACTCTATCGATTAGCTGTCATAAATCTACTAAAGACATTTTCACTCAGAAACAATAGCCATTTGTGCTTTGACTGACTTCGGCGATTAACAATACCAATGAAAAAGTAGGCCTACTTCTCCTACATGTTCTATGCTAATTTCAGTTCGTTGTGATGCTTGAGGAACTGGTGTAACCATGGATACTACATCGGAGTATAAACAAGAAAGGCCTTTCTTTAAGATTTATTTCCTATCGAAACGAATTGTTGACTCTGAAAACGCTATGAACTGACATGGCTTATCAAATTGTCGGATGGAAGGAAAGCCAGATATTGACTTTGCATAGCACGGTCTCAACTTAAGTACGCGAGAAGAGTGTCTGAGCACACAATATATTCCATTAACAGTAAGCTCTTGTTATAAATTGTGATACAAAACTGCATGCCAGTAAACCTCTCGTATCAAAAATTAATATAAATTCATATTGTCTGACCTAAAGACAAAGGAGCGTCTGTTCATACTGTTATCCTGCGTAAACACACACGAGTTCGAAGCTCAGAACAGAAACGATGAGTTGTTTGATCCCTTGAGAAAAACGCATGGCGAAGGTCTCGTTTCAAACTGTTATGCAGCAGACGCCAAGGGAAATAACTCAGCGGTGACACCATAAATTTATTTATAAATGGATTTTAATCATATATCCCAAGTCTCAGAGGAAATAGAGAAATGTAATTGCCTCGGAAGACTTCAGCAGTTTCGTTGACCAACTTCTGAAAAGTTTCGCCTCGAAATTTTTTGTAAATCGATAATGAAACATGTGACATAGTGCCGAATTACGATTCACTGCAAGAAGGCGATAATTCTTTGTTTCGTAAAATACACATTTTTTAACTTGTAGATAGATTTACTCAAATTTTTATGAACTTGTAGCTAATAAACAATAAGCAATACTAGCATTTTATTAAAACTCACTGGTAAGAAATAAGAGTGCACACAAAATTCTGATTGAAAATTTTGAATCTGAAGAGAAGATACCACTTGCGTAACGTAAGCGTGGACTGTAATACACTGTTAAAATGGAACTTAGAGAAACGAAATGATAATATTTTAACTAACGGTGTCCTGTGGAGGTCTTTTGTGAACACAGTAATAAAACAATTCTAAAGGGCTCTGACGACGATAGATTACACTTAAAATTGTTCTTTTTTACTATTTCCATCGTCATATTTTGAAAGAGAAAACCACGACGTTTCAGGGACTGGCTCTGTCTCTGTCTTCAGGTGATGGGTACCTAATCAGTTGGGTCTTTTAGACAGAGCTAGTCGTGGTTTTCTCTTTTAAAATAGGACGATGGAAATGGTCCAGAAAATGAACAAAGATAATAAATCTTTGGGTTCCATAAATATCTTGACCAACCAAGCAACTATCAGCTGGTCAAGTTCAAGCTCCTTCATGGTCTTGTCTTCAAAAATTATAAGAACGTTGCTGTCACTTAGACAACACTTCACATTTTAATATGTGACGTTACTAAGGGGGGACCAGCCAAGGTATCAGAATAGACACGCAAAAACTTATAACCGCAAATCACCTACATAAATGTCATCTCGTCCCTCCAGGCCGAGAATCAACAGCATCAAAGGTCCGCTGTAACAAACTGACCTCGAACAGGAAACTCTTCGTTTGATCTTGCACCAAATTACAACTCAAAACAGGCGTGTTCTCCACTAAACGGTGCTTCAAAACTATTTTCCAAACACACACTGTCCCGTTATAAAGTGCGTGAAAGTTACATTGCAATTATCAGAGTTTAAATGCGTATTCCAATTACGTATAGTTTTTTTAAATGTGTTCCTTGATAATTATTCTTCTTTGGCCTAGATTTTGTTCTAAAAGGAAACAGTGTGTATTATTTTCAGAATATTTGTGTCTGAATGAGGACTATGAATTTTATAACTCACATTTGCTTTATTATTATTGTTTTTAAAGGAGGAAAAAACAATTTAACTTCAAAATATTTTATGAAATAGATTAAATTCATTGTAGCTTAGTGACATAGTGTCGGTTAACTATTTAGCATATTTATGGACTTCACTTTGCATTAATTTCTTCAACGCTTCCATTCTGTTCAAATTCATTCTTTCTTTTCTCTTTCTTTATCTTCCCCTGCATTCCTTTTTCTTTATATTTTTGTTGTTCAATCCCATCGCTTCATCTCGCTTTGTCTCTCGAAGTTCAGGTTCCATTCCGCTGCGACATTAAAGAGGCTGGCGTTTGTTTCGCCAATACCACGACCTGCTTACCAGCCACGCCCGAACTCTGTAGTCATTCTTTATTGACTTATTATTAGCTTGTACTCATACTCGCTGTATCGTGTGCCATGAAAATACAGAAACATTCTTTCGATGTGATTGGCGATTCACAGACTTTGTTTTAGAATGTTTCGGTAAAAGTATTTTAGATGGTAAACTGAGCAAAATGTGACCTGACGGTACTTAGTCAACTTAGTAGGATTTGAGGTTCTCACGGCGTTGATATGAACGACTTATCGCCCTGATGATGGCACCTCTGAAACGTTGTAAACTTCTACCAGACTGCACGGCGCTAAAACCCATAAGACCTGAATTCTAATAGTCAACCGAAATATGTTAGCGCGCATGGGACGAAATGAGAAATGAACGCATAACGTTAGCCGGGAAACCTCAAAATATGAGACCACTTAAGAGACAGGAGGCGCCGATGAGAGAATAATATTAAAAAATTTCTCAAATAAATATGAGACTGTCAGAAGTGAATTTAACTGAATCAGTACGAGATAAAGGAGGCGGGATGTAGGGCTTTCAGAGGACAGAACACAAGTTATTAGTCAGTAATCGCTTTCCATTCTTCGCCATTTTCTACCAAAGTCGTTTGGTATTTATGTTTTAAAGTGGTGTTGTAATTTCTGGTGTGGTCCTGTTTTAATATTTAATAGATAAAGTTAGGAATATCACTACCTACTTAATATTTATTGAAAGTGTGGCCACAAAAAGTGTTAATGTGTGTATCCTGTAGCGTCGTAAAAAGTACGAAAAATACAGCTGACTTGACTTTAAAATGAACCCTAATTGTAATTCGTCACCTGCAGCCAAAAGAACAAAACGTAAATCGGGAAAAAATTTCCTAATAATAAGAATCGTGTGCAGCCATTTGAAACGACACACGCTGAAGATTCGTAAATCGAAATATATTTTGAAAATCGATATAATGATAATAATAATAATGACTTCATATTCCCCTTAATTAAATGGCGCCTTGCTCACGTACGTGAAAATCGCAAAGATGCACGTAGAATGTTCACCCACATCTTCTGTTGGTCGCCTACTGTCATGGCGGTGATGAAAAGACCAAATTAATGCATACCGTAAGGCCACAAATTATTACTGTGTTTTGTCGCCACCAGGCATGGTGCCATACATCTCCGTGACAATGCATATGTTTTCAGTTCCATCAGAAAGGTCTGAAACATTTATAACACTAAACAACTGCATCTTCATCATGTACTTTCCAGATCCCCTGCAATGAAATTCTTCCATCGCTGAGAGTTAAAGTTTTTATGCTAATCAACAGCAATCTCGTCGATTATGGCCTCCCAGGTTGTGAAGCAGTGTTATGGTTATTAATACTTAGGTGTAAATAGTAATCACCATCTCCCTACTCCGAAGATCAAGACAACACGTTCCTCCGAAATACTGGTAACATTAATCTTCTCCTGCCGAACGTTGGGGGTGAGAGGTTCGAATCTTGACCGGGGGACCAGCTGTCTTGAATTATGTGTCTCGTCGTTGTATGCCGTTTGTCCGAGGAAACGGGTCAATATTTTAAAATACATAAAGGTCATTTAAATAAAATCTGTATCATTCAAGATCTACACGTCATAACCACCCTATTAATCGACGCTACAGACCCGTAACTTATGCTGTTAAAAATCATGGTTAAATAACGCAGAATCAATTAATGTGTTAATAAAAAAATACGTACTTTATATAAGGTACATAATCAATATTAGTAGAATATTTGTACGAGCAGGTCAGCTTTCTGCATATAAAATACTTTGTTAATTAAAACAGAATTAAATGCGTCATTTAGCTACCAAATAGACAATGCCTATTTATTGTTTACATGGTATGTAAATGAGCATAATCCATTTTATTTCTTGATTTTATTCATTCAGTTACAGCGATATTTTTAATCTGACACTTGATGTTCGCAATATTGCGTATTACAGCCATAGACTTCATAAGAGTGTTTTAAAAAGCAGGGCTGTGGAGTCGGTACTAAAATCTCCGACTCCGACTCTTGCTTCGACGAAAACTCCGACTCGACCACGACTCTTTCATAAAAGCTCAATATGTATTAATAAGGGTAAACCTACTAAAATGGTAAATGGCACCATAAAGAGATATCATCACCACCACGTGAATCATCAGCCTATATTTAAATATACGTCTAATGGTTTTCACAGAAATCGGTTAATTTGTATAAAGTTTGTGTTCTTAAGGTACCGGAACCAAAGGTACAAAGCATTACTCCCACACCAAGTGACTCAACGCATCGTTGAATTTCCCTTACCACAGGGACGAGCGGGCAGTGCCTGGGAATCTTCTATTAGATGGGGTTTATCCCCCCACCCCAAATAAAGTGTCTCTCACTCCCCTCCACACTTTTCTCTTTTCTTCTGCTCTTATGTTACCCTTCAAAACTGTCTCCCTTCTTTCTCTTGGGCTTTAAAGTGTCCCATAAGCTATTTTCCTCACAACAAAAAAAAACAGGGTTTAAAAATGTCACGAGAATTCATTCCTCATAATGTGGACACAAAATTCGATGTTTAACCAAGTATCAGTAATGCAGTGATATGACAGACCTTTCTCTTGGAACGAGCCATGCGTTGATCCCTCGAATTCTCCGCTTCTCCGGGTATCTGCTTGCCCCAGACTACAATGGCTATTCTCGTATACGTAAACACCAACACCAACAGTGGAACCACGTACTGCAGCACCATAAGCATCATGCTGCAACAAGAACAAGACATGTTCAGTGGGAACGGGGCAAACATTACTTTCCACCCAAATGCCCTGTTCACAAGAAGAAACTGCAATAAGTTAAGTGGTTCGTAAGCTTTCACCGTGATTCATCACTTATGTTGTTCGCGCTTTGCCTACTTTCACCATTTCGAAGTGGGATGTGTTGCCTAAGTTTCAGAGGAACATAATGCCTCCATCATCAGGGCCCTGATCGCCCCGATGATGAAGCAGCAAGGACTTCTGAAACGATGAACTTCTACTAGACTAAACGGCGCTACAAAACGGAAGACATTTATCTTAGTACTCACCACAGTAAGAACCTCAAATCCTGCTTATTTGTAACTGTTACTGTCCGTGTCTTTTTTTTTGTTGAGACGTTGTCTTTTGTAATTAATGGGTATTTTATTTTAATCGCTTTAGCGGCCATTAAGAAGTCCTGTTCATTAAGCTGTGTAAGAACAATTCAATCTATTTTTAATATTTCGTTTGTTCTAGGCTCAATGCTTTACATAAAATATATCGCTGTAAAATTATAAAAATACATCAGACGGAGAAATATTGGAAGCCGAAACTCTTACACGAAATTTAAGGAAGCTATATAGAGTCGGTTCCATGTAGGTTTACTATTGCAAAATTCATGAGTTTAAATTTGGAAGTACAACTCCTTACACGTGAATGCAGTCTAGACTTTCATACCGCGACAACCAGCTCTGCAGTTCGTAGCATCCCAACTAGGTCAAGCGGCTTTAAATCAGAACGTTGGAGTCGGCAGTAGATTCGTCCAAGGTACAACGTACGTATTTCTTGGCGTACAAAACTGGTTTGAGTTAGCATGAATTTGTGGAACCGAGAGATTCATCATTGTGTTTAAGAATATCCTCCGCTGGACCCTACTCCGATTCAAATCAACCCATTCCACATTCCCATATCCTCTTTAAGGTCCATTTTAATATTTTCTTCTCACAAACTCTTAGGGAACACAAATGTTATCCTCCCTTCAGCTTCAATAATAAAATTTGTGTATGCATTTCCTGATAACCCCTCCGTATTCACAGTTCATAACTGCCTTCACAGCTTTCCTCCGGCGATGTCATTCTCAATGATCATCATCATAATATAATAAAAGTCTATAGTCTATGCAGTATGTTAATCTTATTTGAGAAGGAAATCAAATATGGACTGGCGATACTGAAATATAACAAATAAATTTGATTTCACTTTCAGATAGTTCTTAAAATTTTGTAGAGCTCAATACAGCTCAATATCAAGCATACTACTGTGACAGTCGTTCCATTGCTAGCTGCACCGTTGATAAGCCCTTACATATGTGACAGAATGACACAATCATAACATGTGATGTTTATATAAGCCAGGAGCCCATAAACGAAGTAATCAATCAAACAACGTATTTGCTGCGAGTCTGTACAGATCGCATTAAATGCAGTGAATAAAGGTTATGATAACAAAAAGATACCATCAACGGTGTCTGTCACCTGCCCTGAATTCTAAATTTTTACTATGCAGATTTATAGGCGGTTCCAAAGTTAAACGTTAGGTGTTGCTAAGTTCGGGTGTCCTAAGAAGTTACCACACGGTGCTCAACAGCAAACGACTAAGGAATGCATATCCGAAAATGTAATATTTATAATAGGGCTACCAATCGATTAGTTATTTATCAGAAATCGATTATCTGATCTACATATGAATAAATTATTTTTTCATGAAAATATTCTACGAAGAAAAATAAAAATAATTTGTTATCTACTGCTATAATTCTTATCATTGGAGAACTCACTGCTTTTCTCTTCATAAATAAAATACATGATCGGGAGACCTAGGAATAAATTGTAATATAATATTAAAATGGATCTCAAGAAATAGATTAGGACGGTGTGGACTACATTCATCCGGCTCTGGAGAGCGAACAATGGTGAGCAAAGTAGAGAACATTCCGGTTCCATAAAAGGCTGCCATTTCTCAACTAGATGAGCAACTACTGGTTTCCCAAAACAAAATATACTTCAATGAGTTTCTTGGTTAGTTACTTAGGTAAATGGACTATAATTGCTAATTTTTGTCGACTCGGTTAAACTTCTAATTACGTTCCAGTTTGTTAACGGAGATAGATTCACTATCAGATTAACTGCATTGATTAATAAAGTGTTAATATCTTTCGCCATTTGGCTCGCCTCCCCCCAATTTACATAAGCATCCCTTATTAAATTATCAAAGGGGCTAATGCTTCAGCGCAACTAAACAGATGCTAGAAAACAATAAACTCCAGTTATAAAAGCTATGCCCACTGAGACCACTATCTTCCGTCATGTTCTAGTTGACGCTGATTGATCTGACCTTTCAAACGCAATGTTCTCTGTCATCGACACACGATAAGATTAAAGAAGTCCAAAGTAAACGTCTGCTTCGTTACCGAACAGCATCCTAAATTCCTTGTCTCCGAGTTAGAGAACAATTCAGTTGTCTCTGTTTATTCTAGTTCTTAGAATGGCCTATCAGTACGGATTACACTAAAATTCCAAAAGTATTCTTCATGCATCATGTCATTGTTGTGGGCCAACAATTACCTACGTCCCCACTGCTACAAACCTTTTTCTAACAATGACCCCGGGTCATTATTTTTTAGTGTTCTGTCTGACGACAGGTCCATATGAACAGGATCCTTCCATCCTTTTCTCGGACTGGGGACCTATTCATATACGTTCTTGGCAGATGATCCAGAAGTGGTTTGCCATTGCCTTCTTCTGTGTGTGAATGGAGTAATTGTTGGGATGCCACGGAGAAACCGGGGAAGCCCCCGGAGGAAAACTCCGTGTTGCCTAGACCACGGCCTTGCCCAACACAAGTTATAAATTCGGGCACCGCCGAGAATCGAACCCGAGAAAGACAGACCGACGTGGATGGACTAAAGTGTGGACCCCTAAAAATAATTAAACTACCTCTAAGCAGTTGATTTATCATCTATCCTTATCTTACATAGTGAACATTAAGTATCGTCAAAGAGACTGTAAAATTACTGCAAGAAACACGAATCAAAACTTACGACAAATAACAACACCAACCTGGAAACGGATAATAATATTTCTTAGCTTATTTTAAAAAACTACGCTTCTTTTAACCTCTTAGGTCACGTAACGTCGGTAGGAAAATAAATTTGAATGGGAAAATTAGAAAGTATTTAAAAATAGAAGCGATTGAGGTTAACAACAAAAAACCTCATCAGTATTTTGCACGAATATAATTATAGTTATGGCGAAAAGAAAACAGACCTGAAAGAAGTTTCTATCTAAAAGTAACAAGAAAGGAGCGATAAGAGGATTAACTCACTCGATCTAGTAATTAATTATTTTGTAAGGTGTTATAATCACGTAATTCTGTATCAAAACATCTTCTAACTCCACTGATCCACCAAAATGCCTTACAGATCCAGGGAAATCTCTGCCATCTCAATTACAAGCAACACGAATCTCGTATCTCCTTATCCGCAAACACTGGACTAACAAGGAAGTCCCATACCAGCGCCAGTGACTAATGAATACGTTCTAATTGGAAATATGACCTCTTCCTCTGACATACAACCTCTAAAGAGCGAAACTGGAGTACAGATTACATTTTGGTCCATCTTGCGAGGAAATGCCTTTCAAATTCCTTGATTTACGCACTGAAATACCCTGAAGTAAATTTAATCAAAAGATTAATCAACGTCATTACAGTTTGCAACTCAAGATTCATGATGCTTAAAAAAAATGGTCAGTCATCTCCGACCTGTTACATCGTACTTAATTCCTTTAGATGCCTATATACGCATATTAAGATCTATTTTATAAATCTCCTCTATTTAAACCTTTAAACTTTATGATCACTTTGCAAACCAACCACACTATTTGAAAATATCAGTTAAAATGAACCCTTCTGCCATCTGTTGGCAGCATGAACCAATAACGAATGATTTCTTTGCAAACGGAAATGAACTATGGAAAGTTTTTGTTCTCTAAATAAGTTACAGAACGAGCTAATAAATGTAATATTAGACAATTTCTAATTTCTATTGATAAAAACGGCAGCTTGTTAAATGAAAATAGTAAGACGCCACACTGTGACAGATAAATAAACAAATAAATAGAAAAAAGCAAGTGGATTTAATTTATATGGAATTAACAGGTTTGTGTCGTAGGAAATATCTGGAAGACGACAATTTCACATTTAAGATCTGATGTTCTCACGGCGGTGAGAATAGCGGAGTTGTTATTCTTCTTGGTTGGAATGCCGTGCATACCCGCAGGTTCAAGAGAAATATACCGTCTTCATCTTCTGGGCTGATAACCTGTTTTTCAGCCCTGAAGAAGGAGTTTCTCCTAAACCTTTATATATACCTATGAGTCTACACGTGTTCACAACAAAGAATAACAAAAAAAAATAACAAAAATATTTAAGTATAATTCTTTATTGTAATTGGCTGATAGACAAACAGAAACAAGAGATAAATATACCGCAAAGCAACATTTTGACAACTACGACTGAATTCGGAAATAGAGTGTCCCAAAAATACGTATACATATATGGTTAATACTCCGTATTATAATTCCTATACATTTTTGGACACTCTCTATTAAAAACAAAAGTTAAAAGGTATAAGAGGGTACACATTTCTAAAGTATATATTTGGAAAATATGTGTACCTTACTGGTTTTGCTTCATTTTGTAATTAAATGACAGTTTAAAACATTTCACTAACTTTAACTGTTTACCACCTGTAATGAACACTGTTCGATTAATTTACAATTAAAGTGCAATCAATTATAGTTGGTATTTACCTATTTAATTTGGTGTTTGTATCACACTGTATTTATTCATATTTATTAATCCAAACTCGCATACAAATAATTTTTCTTTTTAACTGAATGCATTCATAATTATTAAGCGTATCTGTCTCGGTTTTAATGTGTCGTTTACACAAAAACATAGTACAAATG